AGTGTCACATGAAATGGAAGATGACCACATCATATTGCAAAAAGGAAGATGATGACATCACTGTAGAACGGGCAAATTACAATGTTACAAAATTGACAACCTACTGAGAATCATGGATCAGCCAAATTGATATTTAATCTCAATCAAAACAGCCAGCATTACTCTAGTCTTGCACTTAAGTGTTTGTTATTGCCAGATGCACATTATTAATAGTTGGATAGTAGATTTTTGACCATTAACATAGATGTGAGATGTCACGTAACAAAATTATCTAAGTGAGGAGTATCAGTTGTTTCCTATGCTAGTTCTGATATTTACACTGATTATTTTTTCCTCTTACCTATTGCATATTTAAGAACTTCCTGTGGGATATTAAAGTTTCATCTGCCTTGTTATTTATTCACATATATTAATAAGGAATCTATTTATGCTGTACAACTTTTCAAAGAACTGTCTTTGGTTTATAATTGATTATATTTTCTACATTTACTAAGTTACAGGTTCCACTTTCTTTCACATTTATTAGAACACATTATTCTCTTTAGGTCAGGTTTACATATTTGTAAATGCTGAAAATGCAGAAATATTTATGAATATGGCTATTTTAATGTTCGAAGTAATGTATAACATACTGTATTTTGCATATAACATACACAGTGTGGATAGGAAACAAGTGTCTACATTTTGTTCTATTCTGGATAGTAATTAGTGAAGTAAAAGTTAATACTGTAATGAACAATGATGTATATTTATGGTTTGTCTTAATTTTTCATATCATATATTTTGATTAGTATGAGATAATTTGGCTACAATAGCTTAATTTCGGTTATATGTGTTAAATACATTTGATAATATTTCCCCAATGAAGAAATGAAGCACATAATATTTTTCAGAAAAAAATTCGATGTGAAAATTAGCATATAGTCCAGATTTTCATTAAAATGCACCAGTTTGACCGTTTTGACTTGATTGTGCCGTGCCAAGTGCTTTGACTATGTTGATCTTGAGAATTTGATCCTAAATTCCAGCTCTCCATAATACAACCCCATCCCTGCCCCTGTTCATGTCCCAGACTATCATTTCCAGAAGACTTTTCAATGAATTGACGGATGATTGCTCTAATTGTAGTTGTATCTTTAGTTAGAGCACCTACAACCTACATCATTCTAAGCACATTCATTCCAGAGTCAATGGAAATTTTCATTCAGCATTACGATGTTTTTTATCCTCCATTTTCTCAATATTGAAAGTACTTTTATTCACTTTCTAAAGAACTTCATATTTTAAAGTATGCTATTACCCATTCTTTAAAATTATTTTGCTCATATTTAATACATTTGTATATGAATTAAAAAGGTTTTTCTCCATCTGTGTCATGTTGCATGAGTAATTTTATTTCTAAATTTTAATATCATGAAGTTAATTCCTTTCCAAAAAATGAATTCATGACAAATCTGTTTACATATTCCCTTAATCAGATATAAACAATTTTCAGATATTGCTTTTGAAAACAAAGAAAAGAGAATAGCTTGTCTGGAGTTCATGGAAGCAACTTTCAAAAATTGTTGAGAAAATTAATTTTGCCAAATGATGCATTGTTAAAAATAAATTAGGTTATAAATTTCAAGGAGAAAATGTCTGGGCTCATATTACTTTTCTTTTGAAATTAAAAAGAAATCACTTACTTGAGATCAATGCAAGTCTTTTAAGTAAAACTTTGAAAGCATTCTTAACTTGATTGTTTCTCAATGTATAAATAAATGGGTTCATTGTAGGTGAAACAGAAGAAATAAGCAGTGTAACTACTTTATTAACAGTCACTTCTTCCTTTGCTGCAGGATTCATATAGATGAAAATGCAGGTGCCGTAGGTGATTGACACCACAACCATGTGGGAAGAACAGGTTGAAAAGGCCTTT